TCAGTTACTCGTGGGAAACTCATGGAAGGATCATCGGTGGGAATATTTGAAATTGGACCGTGCTAGGGAGGGGAGGGGAGGGGAGGATGGAGTCTGTCTCTGAAGACCTCAGTTCTGGAGTCCAGTCATTATTGACAGCACTAGGTTTTGATTCCCTGATGTCCCTTTGCTGTTTCAGCCGCCCAAGTCGATCATCGCCCAAGTCCACATGAAGCAGCACATCCCCATACACACCATCTCCTTCAACTGCGAGGACAGAGAGGCCAACCAGTTCCTGTTTGACTTGTCGGAGGCCACGGGCGGCCGCTACCACTACTTCAACGACCGCGGCAAGCCCGTCGACCAACCAGAGTCTTGGGAGGTCAGTGAACCCTACTGGAGAAAGCCAGAACTTGTGGCTGTGGTCGTTTGTGTGTGTGTGTGTCCTTGAAAAAAACAGAAATTGTGACGTTTTGTGCGTCTTTGAAAGGGATATATAATATACAAATGTTAGGCTATGTATTGTTGTCGTTGATATGTACAGCTTACTGTTGGAAGGGATCTATACAAATGTTCTATATTGTTGTCGTTGATATGTTCAGCTTACTGTTGGAAGGATCTATACAAATGTTCTATATTGTTGTCGTTGATATGTACAGCTTACTGTTGGAAGGATCTATACAAATGTTCTATATTGTTGTCGTTGATATGTTCAGCTTCTAATGACGTCATTTATGACAATTATTTCATCCTGTCTTTGGCCCTGTGCCCTTCTTTCCTAGCTGCCAACCAATGTTTGAGACATTTATTTCATACGTATTTGAGGGTCTAGGTACTTCCGTACGTCCATTTTCATATATTTGAAAATACGTATTGTTTATTTCCTTGTCTTACCTATCATCACTCACAAGAGCTGAAAATAATGTGTCTGTTCAATGTTCCAGAATATGGATATCCATAATTGTTGTGTTCTATGCCCCAGAGTGTGGATATCCATAATTGTTCTGTTCTATGGCCCAGAGTGTGGATATCTCCATAATTGTTGTGTTCTATGCCCCAGAGTGTGGATATCTCCATAATTGTTGTGTTCTATGCCCCAGAGTGTGGATATCTCCATAATTGTTGTGTTCTCTACCCCAGAGTGTGGATATCTCCATAATTGTTGTGTTCTATGGCCCAGAGTGTGGATATCTCCATAATTGTTGTGTTCTCTGGCCCAGAGTGTGGATATCTCCATAATTGGTGTGTTCTCTACCCCAGAGTGTGGATATCTCCATAATTGTTGTGTTCTATGGCCCAGAGTGTGGATATCTCCATAATTGTTGTGTTCTCTGGCCCAGAGTGTGGATATCTCCATAATTGGTGTGTTCTCTACCCCAGAGTGTGGATATCTCCATAATTGTTGTGTTC